GTTTTTGTCTCTCTAATTTTGTGTGGGGGTGTGTGTGTGTGTGTGTGTGTGTGTGTGTGTGTGTGTGTGTGTGTGTGTGTGTGTGTGTGTGTGTGTTACATATACATATGTTTGCTACATTGATAATGCAAGTAACTTATTTATTCACAAATTACAATTCGTACTAACTTTTAGCACTCGGCAAGTATTAAGTTTGGACGCTGAATATGGATTGAACTGAAGAAATAATCACACACCCACACAATCTAAACCCATTGTCATTTATTTTTATGAAAGTTTTAGTATTGTAAGAAAACGAAGGTCTCTCTGTACCATTCTGAAGTGTGATCAATAACTGGCCAAAGCAGGATTGACCTGTTGTGTCCTGGTCAGCAGTTCAGTGGACGCCGCTTTGGATTAGGCTAATGTTTATCGATGTGTATATGAGAATGTTTATTATGGGTCGTTGAGGGCATGATGGTTTCCACCATGATGGTCACACCACTACACTGGATTATTGTGAATTTAAACTGAGTTTTGATGTGTTATGTGTAATGGTCTTTTATAAAAAATATTTAGTTTACAAATACTGTGTATTTTTTGCTATAAATTTGATAGCAATTATTAACGTGAGTTAATGATTTAAAAATAATTCAAATAAAAAAAAAAGTTTATAATTTGTTATATTTTACATGTGATTGGTCTATGTTAGAGAGCATTCTGACATGTTGGAAAGCTTAAACACTTCCAGTGACACTGGGTGTTTCTGGTGTAGGCGCGGTGTAACAGTAAATTATGACAGAATTGTCTTGACATAACCTTTTGTTTCTTAAAAAACCTGCATGTACTTGTTTTTTCTTGTCAGCGACCTTTAAGTGTTGTTGTTTTTCTTTCTATCTGCTTTTTACATCAGACATTGTGCACTTAAGCCATACTTAAGCTGTGGCTCAAGATAATTTGTTGGCTTCAGGTCACCAATCAATGTTTATACCACTCCCACCCCTCTACAATCCTGAAATATGTTCCTGTCTTTTTTGACAGTGATCCTGCCCTTGAGATAAGCATCCTGGACATCTTTGGCTTTGAGGAATTCCAGCGCAATGGTTATGAAAAGGTAAGGGCAGACAGCACAGAGATAATGAGGACAATGATAATTACACTTTTAACATCTGATTGTGACCTTTTAAAAGGGTCTTTCATATCATTGTAATGTCACACTGAGGCTAAAATTTACAGCCGCTTTGTAAGTGCAGTCTGTTCAGCTTTTCATCTGACTCTAAAAAACACAAACTGCTCTTCGCCTTGGACTCTGGGCCTCCTAAACCCTCTGCTGCTCTGTACTGGGTTTGATGTGGAGCTGCCACACATACCAGTGGGAATCAAGGCATTGTGCTCATGATCCTGTTTCCCGTACAGGGGAAAGCACTGACCTATCCCACAGTATGCTCCTGCCTTGGGCTGTGACTTTTTTAGACTTAGCGACAGACGGGGTGTTCTTCTGCCGGGTTTTTTTCCATGACAAAGGCATTTCAATCTAAGCGAGACAGGTATTTTTTTTTCTGAATCTGCTCACGCTGACTCCAAATCTGGGTGAGCTGCCTGTGTAGACTGTGTTTTAAGGCATCATAAGTGTGTTCCCGATGTGAAGGCTGTTCCAAAAAGTAGGCAAGAATACATTGAAACAAGCTCAAAAATTCAACACAATGGGCAATAGAGTGTTGCAGGGATGACATAACTTTGCAAGTTAGCATCATTACCCAGTAGGATTTTTCCATTGACTTTGAGCAGAAAATATGCTCTGTGACAGATTCTTAAATGTTACGATCACCAGAACTAAAAAGCTAAAGTAAAGAGCTTTAAGCAATCTAAATCCTTGATAAGATGACTTCAGTGTCACCACCGCTAAGCTTCTGACCATTATTTAAAATCTACAATTTGGAAAGTTTGTATTAGAATAGTTTGTAAGAGTGTAAGTATATATACATTGAGGTTGTGAAAGTAGTGAGTAGATGAGTTTACCTTTTTGGCGTGATGACGTTTAATGTCCCATGTCACGGGTGGGGTATTACTGATGCATTTTATGTCATAGAGTAAAATGTGAAAATATATTAAGCTTGTGATATTCACAGATCTTATTTCAGTCATTTAACCAAAAACCCATTCAATATACCTATTGACTTCAGGGTGATGGAACCAGAAATGCTCAAATTAGAACTCATTTCCAGGTTTTAGGATGGATTCCAGCAGCACTTCATGTAGATTAGATTATAAAAATACTTAATTCATCTTTGAATAATAGTTCAAAACTGACTATAAATGCTTAATTAATAAGCAGTTGTTGGTATTACCATGTTAAGTGTTCTAAATCAGTCAGAAAGGCAGCTTTCTAGGTTTCTGTACAGAGCTTATATGTTTGACTGTACGTCCCAGAGAGGTCAGCTGAGGCGAAACGGAGTGACAATTAAACTGTTTAAATTGTTGTGAAACCATTACTGCATTAGTTGTGGCCGTACTTCACAGAGCTGTTTTATTTTGGACAGTAGCCCGGAGCCAAAGCCAGACCCAGACGCATAGCTGGGTGTGCCATATATATTACATAAATTTTTATTTTATTTTTCCCAAAATCTGAAGAGTAGCATGAAATAAAGCAGCTGCTGTCAAGACCCCGAGTTGTGTTATTTTAGTGTTTTGGAGAGAGACAAATGCCCGTCTGAAGGCTAAGACGCCACGTGTGCGCACCGCCCCCTCATGCCCAGTATCCTCAGTAGCCACGTCCACTGTGCGAGATGTGTTTTTGTACCGGACAGATGAGGTTGACGTTTGAGAGTGGGGGGGTGGGTTTCTCCTCAGCTGAACCCTTGGCATCAGACACAAAGGAGTCTCTGTGCACGGTCGGGATTGACCCATGAACCATCGGCCAAGATTTGGCACCAACCAATGTCATTGTTGTCATAGACTCTATAGGGAAGATGCATGAGGTAATTTAGGGACACTGTAGAGTAATGGTTCATATATAACAGCTCCTGTCTGAGTTGGACATCCACTTCCAACTGTTAAACCAGCTGAGGATCTACATGGGAACTCTTGCTGGAGAGAAAAAAGAAAAGCTTAAACCAGCCTGAGTTGATTTGCTAGTCTTAGCTGGTTTTAGATGGTTTTGTCTGGTTTTGCTTGATGGCCAGCTAGTCACATGGACAAACCGTTTAAGAGTAGCAAACTGGCATAGACTGGTTTGAACTCTTTCCGTGAGCACCACCAAGTTGTGGTTTTGTGTAACAGCTCCAGGCATGTGACCAAAAGCACACAATCGTATTGGTTGGTCAGCTTTAATCACAGGACAATGGAAAAGAGATTAAATGCCTCTCTGTAAAAATGTCCTTCGTGTTGATGTGATGCGACTGTTCGTATCGGCTGAACGGGCTCATTAGCAGCCGTTCATCCAAATTAAAAAAATGTTGCACCAGATTTTCAGACCGAACTTTCGTCATGTTCGTGAACATACCTTTAGACCAGTATTTATGTTCAAGCTGGTGGATCAGCACAGCCAAGCTGAATACTGCAGACATTTTGTGTGAGAATATTTTTAAAGGTCTGTCCCCATCAGTCTAGACGAGGGTCTTTATTTGTATGTCTGAATATGTTCTTTCTGTGACAGATATTCATCTAGACAACTGTTGAGAGGTTGGCAGGTAGGAGTGTGTGTGTGTCATTGCTTAATATCTTCCTTGACAGTGTAGGACAAGGTGTAAATCAGGATTGGTGCTGGAAGAGATAAGTGCTTACCCACAATCCCCTGGGAGATCTCCTTGAGATGGTGTGTGTGACAGGTTGGGGAATGCTTACGAGACACCGAGATGTCGATTGCTTGTCTTCTAAATGGTACGCACCTATAATCCACATGTGAAGGAAGATTTATGGTCTTTGACCTTTGAAGGTCACAAGAAATGAGAAAAAAACTAAAAAACAAATGAGGGGTGAGTGACTGTGATTAAGATGAGAACTAGGTATTTAATGGCCGCTTGGAGTGTTAGTGTTAGTTGTAGTGTTAATCACTTGGTATATACCTTATATGGATTGCTACTGTGGTTCCTGCTTTGGCTTTTTAGGGTTCCTTGTTTTTAACTTTCATCTCAGCAGGATTATGGTGATAAATGATTTAAATGAGTCCAGCGACTGGGTTGTTAGGATGAATTCCTGGAATAAACCCGCTCACTGAAGCGTGTGGAACAGTGAGTGAATGGGTGCGAGGGGTTAATGTTGAACGCTTATTATAGCCAAGTTCGTTAAGAGGTAATTAACGTACATGCCAGCTCTTTGTGTACAGATAAAACTGCCTGTCATATAGCTATTGTTTGGAAATTATGTGTAATGCTAAATATACTTCACAAGTGTGAGCTTTATTTTGCGTGATAATGCACATGAGCTTGCTTCCTAAAAAGTAGTCATATGCAGCCCTAATACACTGTACTCAATCCTTCCCTTTTTGATACAATTATTATATATGTACATGTAATATATATACTCTACATTTTAACTTTATCTTTTTGTAAAATGAAGATCACATTAAAACTGTAAAACATGTTTCTAAGCTTTCATCATTAATATTTTTATACTTTTCAGATTTTTAATATATAGAAGTTAATGTTTTACCCTGGTCCCTAACCCAGATCTTAAAGGGATAGTCCATCTAAAAATGAACATTTTGTTTTGAAAATTGTGTATGTATGTAGGTATGTTGGTAGGTATGTATGTATACGTGGTTTATATCTATTTTAACACACACTGCAATTATAGTAATATAATATATTATAATTGTATATAATAGCTTAATTTCCACCACAACAAACAAAAGTTGTTTATTTATTATTTATTGATTTAATGTACTTAAAGAAAACCATGTCAGTAGAAAGCTAGAGATTGAATATAAAATATGTAATGTTTGAGGAAAAGAAAAAATCAAAGCACATCAGAAGAGAAGACAATATTTTCACCAAGTGTCATTTCAAGTAAAGCTGAATATTTATAAAATTGTGGGGGGGGGGGAAACAAACAAAGACTTGAGATGCACTAGAAATGACACTGTGGTGGAAATGACTTCTAGAAACCTGACAGAACTATTCTGCAAATCCACTCATATCCACTCCACCCTTAAAACTCCACAGGGGCAGAAGTGTCCATAGTTAAGGAGTGACTTGGCCTACATGATTAAATCAACCATTTATGAGTTTAATGAGAAGCATTGTTTGTGACCACATGTCAACAAAGGTGTATAAACATGAAAAAGTAAGTGATTGATCAGTGCGTCAGTGAAAGTGTATTTTATGCTGTTAATATGTAAAATGTCCATACGCCGTGGCTCAACAAAGGCTTTTGTGGTTTTGTTTCTGTAGCTGTGCGTGAACATGGTGAATGAACGGATCAGGCAGTTCACCGCAGACGTGCTCTTCCAGCAGGAGCGACAGGAATGTCTGCAGGAGGGGGTTGCCATGGAGACGCTACGCTCCCTCGGCAACCAGACAGCGGTGCTGGACTTCTTCTTCCAGGTACGCAGTCAGAGCGGTTTTCCGAGAGCCGTGGAAGGAGGGAGGGAGGGAGAGGAAAGAAGTTGGAAAGCTTTTCCCACCCTGAGGCTGCTGACCCTGTACAAGAGCCTCTCTGTTGCCTCTTTAATTGAAGTTACTGCCGTCTCTTCAATTACTGACTCAATAACGGATGTCCTCGCTGACTGTTTTATAAAGACTAACACACATCCAGACGTGTTGAATTCCCTTAGGTGTCGCAAAGATGTGATAAAGCCCATCTTTTAGACTATGACTCTATTAGCCCGTTTGTCAGATGTGTGATCCTTTTATAAGTCTTGAAATGACCAAGTGACACAGCATTTTACACACAGAAGCACATTTTCTCTTGCCACGCACACATTTGTGCTCTACCTCACTATATATATATATTATATTATTCTGTGTACATTTAAATGGGTTTTATGACGGTCTGTTTCAAGCTTTCACATATATGTCTCTTACTGATAAACAGCCCCAACATGTTTGCTACATTTGTTTTAAAAGATTTAGAAGGTCTGTTTATTTTGCATTACCAAAAAAAAATACAAAATAAAAATACAAAATTGTATTAGATGACGTGAAGATATAAAATGGAAATATTATGGTACGTGGTGAGTTTTTTGTTTTGTTTCTACTTTTTTTAAACAGCCCTGCAGTGTGAAGCATGCTTTTTTAAAGATAGAATTATAGAACTAAAATACGATTACAATTGCCCAAATAATATGAATATAGAATATGCATACATAATCATTCTAAAGTATTATAAAATATTAAGAAAAAATGATGTAATAGGTCATGCCAACCACAAGATCAGAGAACTAAATGTCAGCTACACATTTTAATGTAGTATTGTGTGTAAAAAAAAATAATAATAATACAAAATACCATCAAAATACCAATACCATCATGCTTTTTAAGAGATGTACAATATTTCCATACAGTTCTTGTTTATGTAGGCCTCTTTCCTTTGATGGACTGAAACAATTAAGAGAAAATAGGGGCAAATAACACACAACACTCAGCAGTGTTTCTTTGTTCTTCTTTCATGATTTTGCTTCAGTTCGTACACTGTATATTATTATTATTATTATTATTATTACACTGCTCACTGCTCACTGGAATACTTGATTCTGATTGGTCAATCCTTCCATTCTGCAGTCAAGTATTTTTATAATATTTTATAATAGGCACTGAATACTAGGGTTGTAACGGTTCAAATTCATCATGGTTTCGTTTGCATCACGGTTTCAGTATGGTTTGGTGTGTGCTATGTTTAGGGAAAAAAGGACTATTCTGTCAGATAAAAATAAAGAAAATAAGAACAAATAATCTAACTACAAGCAACAGCACAAATAAATACAATAGAGCAAAGATACAAATAAAATAAACAATGCTTTTCAGGTTATTTTAAGTAGGTCTAACATTAGTTTTTAGGTACAGAAATTGAATAAAGTAATCAAATGTAAAATAACATTGCATATTTGACTTTATAAATTAAAGATGAATCCTTATTAAAATTACAAAAGCTATTCAATCAAGAGCAGTGAGTGATTGCCTTGACTTTTGTTGTTTGATTAACATTTAAAAAAAAGTGCTGTCACTTTAAGACAATGCATGGATCCAGTACACTAATACTGTACGTTCAACCGACTATGTCTGCTAGGATACTCGCCAAGACGGGCATGTTGACATCATTTTTGTGTGAATTTGTCCATTCAAGCACAAGTCTTAAAAGAGAAATCAATATTTGCACGCTGAGACCTGAATGCGGGTTTGTCAACACCTGGGTGCTGACGACAGCATAAATGACTGGTCATATTCCAGCATACGGCACTCGCATTAAACCAAGTTTACAAAGCGTGACTGGTTTGTCCACATTGTTTTGTTCATCGATGTTGTTGTAATGTACTGGGAAGCCAGAATGTGTATCCATCGACAGAAACATACAGTACATTAGCCAAACTCTGTCTGTTTTACATGTTGTTATTTTTAACAAGCCCTATTACAGATGCGTCGTCAGATTTAAATTGAATTTATTAAATTAAATTAAATTAAATTAATTAAATTAAATTTTTTACTGAGAACCGTTACACCCCTACCGAATACTATAATTTACTTATAATTTATAATTACTGTTGTCCCACATTTTTCTAACTCCGCTGTGCTTGTGTTTCATGTGTGTTATAGCACTCTACAGTATATAGCAGTCTTTTTCTTCTCACATAATACAATAATTTAAAAAAAAAAATGTAAGTATTGTTTTCTGTGAAATATGCAGGAAAATGTACTGTCAACCAGTAATTGTAATAAAATAAACACCTTCAGACTTTTATTTGTTATATATATATATATATATATACATTTTTTTTATTTTTATGAAATTGACCATCCTACTGTACACAGTGTAACTGTGTGTGTGTGTGTGTGTGTGTGTGTGTGTGTGTGTGTTACAGAAGCCTCAGGGTGTGCTGTGTATCATTGATGAGGAGAGTCAGTCCCTCAGGCCATGTGAAGTCAAACTTTATAAGCGACTGCAGATACAGCTGGATTCCTCTGGTACAGACGCCGTCTCACTCACGACTAAGGATGGCAATGGGAACCCCCCACCCAAAGACCAGGGGCCATCATTTACCATCACTCACTATGCCGGCAAGGTGGGTTATGGGAAACTGCGAGCTCACACATGCACATGCTGAGTTCACGGTCATGTGCTCAGCCGGAGCCTCACACACAAACACAAACCCACAGTCACACACTTCCGAGAAGCCCTCCAGAGAGTCAACACGCTATGTCATGCTGAGAGTGAGGGTTATTATTAGCGCTGAACTCATGTGTGTTTGTGTGTCCTCTATTGCAGGTGACCTATGACCTGACCGGCTCACTGGACAAGAACAAGGATGTTCTTCCCCAAAACATCTTGTTTGTTATGAAAAGTAAGGATTTGGAGTTTTGTGTTCTAGTCAACCTCTATATGGTCAAAAAACTCACCATGGTAACGGTAGCTCCCATCAAAATATCTTGGATACTATAATAGGGTTGTGACGGAGAGGAAATCTTCCCACCGGTTAATCGAAGTGTGGGGAGGGGTAGTTCGCTGGAGTTTTCCCTCTTTTCCTTGCTTTTCTTTGCTTTTAAATAGCCCGTGTGCATTTCGAATTAGTGACATTTCGGCGTCAATTGCTTGAATGGACAACAACAAAACAGTACAACGACAAACTCACTTATATTAAACATAGCACGGAGATAACTTATTCATTCACTACCATACAACAGTTTGGAGTTTGCAAGATTTAAAAAAGATTTTAAAAGAAGTGTCTTATTCTCACCAAGGCTGCATTTATTTGATCAAAACTACAGTAAAACCGTAATATTGTGAAATATAATTTTCAATTTAAAATCACTGTTTTCTATTTTAATATATTTTAAAATGCAGATCATTCCTGTGATGGTAAAGCTGAATTTTCAGCAGCCATTACTCCAGTCTTCAGTGTCACAAACAGTTGTGCTGCTTAATATTTTGTAGAAACCCTGATACATTTTATTTCAGCACTCTTTGATGAATAGAAATTTTAAAACAACAGCATTTATTTGAAATATCAATCTTTTGTAACAATCTAAATATCTTCTCTGTCACATTTGATCAATTTAATGCATCCTCGATGAATAAAAGTATTCATTTCTTTAAAAAAAAAATCGTACTGACTACTTGGGTAGCATTTTAATGCATCATAAATGCATATCTGAAACCAAAATCACCATGTGATCAACATTAATGATACTTCCTTTCAGCCAAATGCTAAGACTGCTTACCTTGTATCCTTTGTGATGAATGCACTCTCATAATGCATTGCCTTGAGTGAAAAATATCCATCCAAGATGGTGAACAGTTTGAGAAGTACTGTTAAACATAGTTTAGTGTAATTACAAATGGATTATTTTACCGAATATTTATTTGTGCTGAACTTATTAGTGGATAAATTGTTAGCTTCGCAACATTCTAGACTCTAGAAATCAGTAGTGAGTCAGATCTTTTGTGTGCTTCATGTAAAGTCGTGGCCTAATGGTTAGAGAGTTGGACTCGTAACCCAAAGGTTGCGGGTTCGAGTCTCGTACCGGCAGGGATTGTAGGTGGGGGGAGTGTATGTACAGCGCTCTCTCCCACCTTCAATACCACGACTGAGGTGCTCTTGAGCAAGGCACCGAACCCCCAACTGCTCCCTGTGCGCCGCAGCAAAAAATGGCTGCCCACTGCTCCGGGTGTGTGTTCACGGTGTGTGTGTGTGTTCACTGCTGTGTGTGCATTTTGGATGGGATAAATGCAGAGCACTAATTCCGAGTATGGGTCACCATACTTGGCCACATGTCACTTCACTTCACTTCACTTCACTTAAAGAGCGTTGCATGCAAGACAAAAAAAGTATAGTGCTCAAAAGAATTCACTTATGTGGTTAGTTAGTGTTGCTACTTAGCTAGTTACTCCTCAACATTGTGGATGTGTGAACTGTGATCTTAACATGTATACCTGCTGCAGTGCATTCCGTGTAAGTTTTAGCATTCGCCCTCACTCTATACACCTGCTCGTCTCCCCATGTTTAGCAGGTCAGAGGTCAACATGAGGCAGGAGCGTGTGCTCACATAGAGATTTGAATGGGGTGCTGTTATGTTGTTTGTGGGGGATGGTGAAAATGAGGGGAAACAATTAGCTCTGGTGCCTGGCGTAATTAAGCTCCAAACGTGTATAGCCTTGTGTTTATTTTCTCTCTCCATCTCTCTCTTCCCCCCCCCCTGAGCAGCAAGTGAGAACGTGCTCATCCATCAAATGTTCCAGTGTAAGCTGACTCAGACGGGCTCATTGGTTCCCCACCACCAGCGACTGAAGCTCCGCGGGCCCAAAGGCACTCTGCTTAACAAGAGCACTACGCTAGATCCTGCCAGAGACGCCAAGAAATATGTGGAATTGAACAAGGTACAATAGTGGAACCTTCACAGCCTATTGGCACCAATTTCATTGTTTAACCTAATTATTTATAAAGTATTTTTTTATATATAAAATATTTGGTAACACTTTACACATATTCACTATTAGCCAAGAGTTTTCCCTGAACAAACTCCTAATTTGCTGCTTATTAATATTGAAGACGCAATAGTTAGTAAGATAGTTGTTAAGTTTAGGTATGATGTAAGATTAAGGGATCTAAAATATGGTCATGCAGAATAAGGTATTAATATGTGCTTCATAAGTACTAATAAACAGCCTATATGATAGGAATATGCATGCTAATAAGCAGCTAATTAGTAGCGAGAATCGGTCCTTAAAATAAAGTGTTACCAAATATTATTTTGTTTGTTTGTTTGTTTCAATAAATATATTACTAGTACATTTTGATTGTACAATTATTATTATTTATATTTAAATTTTACATAACCTTTTAAAATACATGATTTTATAATAATGTTTAAAAAAATATTTGCATGGAATTCTAATAAATAATACATTTCATATAATATTTCTATATTTATTTATTTGTTTTATTTTTATTTTGACACTGGAACCTTCACAGCCTATTGAAACCAATTTCATTTTTAACACATTTATTTATAAAATAATTTTATTTTTAACTATCTGTTTGTTTACTTTTTCGTGACAACATATTTTGTATTGTAACTAAAACAGCAATGATTTATTGAGAGAATGGAGAAAACTCAGCATTGGATTTGGACTTTGAAAAAAATATTCTTGGAATATTCAACGATAACCAGTACATTTTAACACATCCTTTGGTCACGCACATGGGCTTCCCTCAGTCCACTGTGACGTAGATGTTTAAGCTCTGGCATTAAGTCTGTACTCCGTGTGGCTTCACAGTCCTCCATAAACGCATACAGTGACGAGTATGCACCACATGACTCTGCCGCAAACATGACCGGACCAGTCAGAACAAACCGTGCCTTTTCACGAGCTGTAGTATTTTTAGCTTATCAAGTCTGCACGGGGAAGTGACCTAGATTAGACGTTACCCTAAATACATTGTCCATTGATCAGCTTTCCACAGCCAGATATCCCATTCAGAGAAAACACAGGGCTTTAACCGACTGCGTCACATCAGGCACAAACACACACGGATGCGTCACTTGGGGTGTTTGCTCTTCACACAGCTGCGATTCTCAATCACCCTCCTCCCTTTTCTTCTCTCAGTCTGTTTTTCTCTCCAATTTCAATGATGTGCAGTCAATTTCATTCTCGCTGTTTCTTTTTCCACTCTCTCTCTGTCACAGATCTGAGATGACTTCTAGGGTAAATCTCACAAAAACACATCAGCTGAGGATCCAGAATTCATCTAAATGTTTCGTAAAATGTTTAAATTAAATTCTAAGTGTGTATTTATATTTGTGTGTATATAATACATAGTGATTCTTTTTATTGGCTTTGACATTTTGTGTTAAAGCAAAGTGTATAAATACATTATGAAACTATCAGATTAAGAACCATATAGAATTAAGATATTTGTGTGAATATTAGCTGTTTTGCAACTTTGCACGTGTCTCGTCCAATAATATTGCATTGTACGGAGCCCTGTGCATAATGTGGAGGAAAAAAAGAAGACACTGCAATTGATTTGTGCTTAGTTTGTTTGGGGGGGGGGGCGTGCATGCAAACGTGGCCAAGAATTAGGGATTTGTTTCAATAACTTAATTTGTTCCCTTGTTTAATTCCCTTATGAATTTATGGCCAAGTTTTATTAATTCAGTCCCTTGTTTTAGGTCAGTCGTGGTCATGTTGTACTAATTTGCTATCTTGTTTTAGTTCAATTTACCTAAAGGAAACAAATTAGAACAACATGGCCATGATTGACTTAAAATGCGGGAACAAATTAATAAAACATGGGTGTGCATTAATAAGTTGTGGGAACAAATTCTTAATTGATGGCCACAATGTCTTTTTGTTTTGTTTTTTTCCACCATGCCATGTGCAGGGCTCTGCAGTATTGCTGTTTTGAGTCTTTTGTTAATAGTTATAATTCAGCACAGCTATTTTTACACTGACTAATTTGTTAAAAATAATCTTTTGCATCCATTAAGTTACAGACAAATGAGATGAAGATGAATTCACTGGGTTATTGGAAAATATATCACTATATAGTTCTGTAATATATAAGACAATTTTAAGTTGAATTTCCATCATGCATAAATCTATTGTGATCAGTGCAAATGGTCATAATGATTCAAAATAATCCTTGATTTTTTTTATGCAAAATATAATTGTATTTATTTATTATGATTCTGAGGTGAAATATGACCGATACATGTTCTTGAGATTCACCCTTGACTTTTATAAGGCACATTTGACTGTCACTTCCATTCTCTCTTTCCTTCTTCAGTTCCTTTCTTTGTCTTTTAATCATATATGCCATCTCTCTTTTCATTCTCTTCTGTCTATATTCAGGTCAGTGCTCTGGTGTGTGTGTGTGTGTGTGTGAGAGAGAGAGAGGCTCAGTCTTATGTAAGACACCCAGTACATGAGCCGCTGGCAGCCCTGGTTACCCACATACCCTGGTTTTACCCTCTTACATAAGTTTCTTACATTTCAGTTCCCATAGAGCAGGGGTGCCCAACCCTGCTCCTGGCGAGCGACTGTCCTGTAAAGTTCAGCTCCAACCCTAATCAAACACACCTGAAGCAACTAATTATGGTCTTCAGGATCACTTAAAAATTAAAGGCAGGTGTCTTTGATTAGAGTTGGAGCTAAACTTTGCAGGACAGTCGATCGCCAGGAGCAGGGTTGGGCACCCCTGCCATAGAGTGACTGGGACAGTAATATGAAGTAACATGATGAGATCCTGCTGTGGCTTGAAACAGAAAAGCACAAATGAATTGTTTGTTTGGTTTGGTTTGCCCTTTGATGAGAGAAATTGGATGAAAAAGTTGCACCAGATTTTATTTTTCTTTCTTTTGTTGTGTGTCATGAAAATGAGTAGATTTGGTGTAGTAGCGGAGTTTTCTGGGAATCAGGGCACCCCGGAGAGATTTTGATTTAAAGCAGCAGTTTGCTGCGAATTATAATCATTTTCTTTCCTACTGAGTAGCTAAATGAGTGAGCTGTGTCATGAGTGTCTGGCCTTTTTTTCCCACCAGAACGGCTGTTTGACTAAGAAAAAACTAATTGTCCCTTTTTACACTGCACAGCTTGAACTACTTTTGTTTTTAAAACAATATTATATCACCTTTAATTGCTTTCATATGGCACTAGGGAAAAACATATTGTGATTCTAAAACCAGCTATACTGAAGGATGCATTCAATTGATTAAAAGTGAAGTAAAGACAATTAAATAGGGGTCAAATATGAGATCCCATTTGAAAATAAATTTACAAAAGTGATTTTATATACAGTGGTGTGAAAAAGTGTTGGCCCCCTTCCTGATTTCTTATTTTTTTGCATGTTTGTCACACTTTAATGTTTCAGATCATCAAACAAATTTAAATATTAGTAAAAGATAACACAAGTGAACACAACATGCAGTTTTTAAATGAAGGTTTTTATTATTAAGGGAAAAGCTGTACATAGAAACCATATTAAATGCAAATAAAGGGTCTCCTTTAATGCTTCAATAAAATATCAAATATGGGTGAAATAATGTTCTATCATTATTTAGCATAATAAATATATTTATGTAAAAATTAAACAACATACTTATTCTGGCCTGTGCTTATTAAAATATGTGAATAAGTAAATAAGTAAGAATACGTGATCGTTCTAAAATGTATTACATTTTAAAGGATAGTGACAAAGATTGGTAAACATTTAAATTACAATTAACTAGTTTTTAGAGGATGCACTGTGATGCTTAAATAGTCTTTAATGTGATCTAATGATTCTGGTTCTAAATATGCCTGACAAGATTTTTTAAATTTTTCATTTGGTATATGAACTCTTGTTCATCATTTATATTTTAAATAAATGCTGTCCTACTGAACTTTCTATTCATGAAAGAAACCTGGCAAAAACAGAGAATGAAAGCTGTATGAGTCAAAATAATCAAGACAAAGAATCAGACACACCATTATTGGTGAACTATCATTAAATCGCCACCTCAATTTAGAGTGACTTACTGTGCGTTATTTCCCAGAACAGACTCCCTCTAGGGTTAAAGGGGCACGATGATCATATAGCCGAACTGTGAAGTCTAACTTTCCAGTTCCTGAGTCACCTTTAGTTCAAATTAAATTAGCTGCTTTTGTAGTAGTGACCTAGATCCATTAGACCAATGGTTCTCAATTCCAGTCCTCGTGCACCACCGCTCTGCACATTTAGCATGCATCTCTCATCACTTCAGACGTTTGAGGTATATTACATACGTCACACTTCACACTTCTCTAGTAAGGTTTGTCTGTGTGTGAACCTAACCTAACCGCCCACTGCCAAGAAACTGGCAAATCTTCTGCTTGTTCTTAAAAGCTGAATAATTCTAAATGAACTCCGTTATTTTGACAGGAAAATACAACAGAGAATATGGTTTACATGTAGCTCGTCGATTCAGTGTGGGTATGTAAGTCTCTCGCTCTCTCTCTTTGCATGTGCGAGAGAAACAGCGCTATCAGCAAAGCGACGGCGAGTCGTGCGCCTTCACACTAGAGTTTACGGTGCGTCAAATACAGGTACGCTGTGCATCAATCGAGTACATGACTAGATCCATTGAGCACATCCAAATAGTACAGATCGCTTGACGGAGAGCAAAACGCTCAAGCGCTCAGTCAGCGTGTTTATCGAGTTAAAATATATCTTTGCTAAACTTGTAATTAGCCTGTAACACACACTGGCGAGTAAAATCTAAGAATGTATTAGCCAATGGCTAATATTAGACATTATTTAACTTTAGTCGCCCAGAGTAAGAATTTAGTTGCATACTCGAGTGATTTACTCGCAATGTAGAGAGTTATTTCCACCAATGACTTGAATACAGTCCATGTAGAGATTCAAGTACAGGGTGTACTGTATCAGGATTACCAGGATGACCTGTGCTGATTTGTATTATAACCTGATGACGAAGGAAACGGATAGACACGGTCTACCTTTAACAGAAATATTGTCAGTATTTCCCTTTCGGGTGAAAATACAGAAATCTGGGGGTATATTACTGTGTGTTTGTGTTTGTTTGCGTTTGCATGATTCATTCATAGCTCCTGTACAACTCTGTTGCCATGCCAACATTATCTTAAAAGGGCATGAATATGAAAAGTCACATCTAGAGCACCTCTCCTCCTTCCCCTCTCTAGTCCTGATATATAGAAGCCTCACTAACACCGAAGCCATTCTTAAAACCCATGTATGTCATTGTGTTAGCAAAATATGAAAGCAAGTGGCATTTAATTTAAAGAAAGAACACAAGCACGCTTTAAGCAAAACATTTTACAAAAGATTATTAATTATAAAACAAAATAGTTGATACAACGAAATATCTGGACTCTTTCTTGTCAAACATTTAGCATTGTGTTATGTTTTGCCCCACAATTAAAACGACAGAGTTTTAAGAATTTATTTATAAGAATTTAAATATGATGTTAAGACATATTATTGGGAAATATTGAGTGACAACTGACATTAATATGCATTACAAAAATAGTCTGCTAAATTGTTATAAAATCTTCTTGATTTGCATTACAACTATCTGAATTTCATCTTACTGGCCATATAAACATCAGCAACTGCATGTACATCTAACATACTTAATTAGACCTAATTAATTCATTCATTCATTCAGTTTGGGCCTCTGAAAAAAATTGAGATATGAGCTCCATATTCTCAATATATCATATTATATGAACCATAATTGTATCAGATATAGGCCTAATATTCAAATTAGTAATTTTTTTAATTTTTTTTAATTTATTTAGTTAGATGCCAGATGGGTAAAAATAAATAAGTAAAAAAATATAAAATAAATAAATGAAATAAAAATATAGATTTTTTTTATTTAAGTGTTGTATTATTTTTACTATTTTATTAATTTTTTTTATTTTATTAACAGGCTAACAGGTGACTTATTTTTATTTTTTTGCCTCTGCAGCTCCTGAAGAAAAAGGGAGCGACGTCCTTCCTGCAGAGACTGGAGCGTTGTGGACCGGTCACTGTGGCAGTGCAGCTTAGGGTAAGTTCACATTAGAACCACTGCCAGATTCCAAACCTGACCTGAGCTGACCTGGCCCAGCCCGGCCCATCCAGATGCTCATTGTGCTCTGTGGATTTGACTTCTTGTTTCCAGCAGAGCTGGATCTCTTCAAAAGCCTGCAGGCTCACAGAACCAAAAAGCTGCCTGACAGCTAAACATTATAGATCTGCCAGGAAGGCGTCTTAAAGGCCCATGTGTTTGAGGTTTGAACAACAGTCTTTAAAAGAAGTGTTCTAGTGTTGTGCCCATCTCATAGGATCAGTGTGGTTAGTGGGGAGGAAGGATTCTGGCCTGCTGATGTTTTAGTGATTAGGGTGGGTGATTGTGGATAGTAGTGGATTCTGTATGAATGAACAGCAGGCTCACTATTACTGTGGGAGAGAACATTCCTTCAGAGAACATGGCTTCAACATGCCATCAATCATCTGATATCTGAGATGGGAATCTTGCAATTCTGGTTCTTTTAGCAACACTGATTTGAATTTATCATAAAATTCAATATTAAACATTATTTACTATATAAATACTCTTACATTATACAATATGTTTAAGGTTTATGACAGAATTTAGTTGATGTGGATTTATGCAATTTAATATGTATAATATATTTAATGTTGTAATGTAATATTAATTTAATATGAAATGAAATATTATTTATAAACTGCTGTTCAAAGTTTGGGTTCACTATTTTTTTCTTTCTAGAGAATCAATGCTTTTATTCAGCAATAACAATAAATTGATGAAAAGTGACAGGACGTGGCAGTACCCTTGGAGCCGGGCTTCTCATAGCTTGTCAGATATTGAGGCGACACCATATCGCTGCCAAATGTCATGCATAATAACGGCTTGAGGTGCGGTAGATATTCGGCTTGAGACGGTCACTAGTCTGTCCTTTGTCCTGCAAATATTTAAATAAAACATTGAGATTTTTGTTTGTATTTCAAAAATTGTTACTAAAGCAAGAGATTTTGTGAAATCTTTTAGTCAGTTTTACTAATATATATGCCTCTGTAGCTCAGTGCTCCATTCACGTTAAGTGAAGAATACACGTTTACAGAAAATCATTCGATTCACATCCCTATCCCTAACCCTGCAATTGGCCCTTTGTAACACACTCACCTATTAACGTATGCAGACGTGCTCTTGCTTTCATCCTGACCTCATTCTCATGTCAGTGGAATGCAGATACATGTATGTAGGGTATGTGCTTATGTTCACACGTTCTACACTGCATGACCTGATTTCATACCCCGTGTTCTGCACAACGAGATGTAAGGGGTAGTGCAGGGGTTTATGACAAGAGCACACAGTGTTCCTCTCTAATCTGTCCTCTCTGTTCAGGGCTGATTAGGTCATGAAGCGCATTCAATGCACAGCGCTCGCACAAACACACACGTTATTTGTCTACGCCTAAATAGCTCCCAGACGAGAGCGGTAGAAGAGATGTGAAATCCTTCAGCAATAATAAATAACATCTAGTCGAATGTGTAAGGTCCGCGCACCTGGCCCAATGAAGGTATCCATTGGCGGATGAAGGTCTCTTGCGTGTTCGGTCTTTTCAGCGCGCAGTGTTATTCAATTTAGGTTTAACTCAATCTGACTCCATTTTTGTATCTGATTTCTAATTTAGGTTGAAAGGCACATTGGTTGTTTGTCGGTCTCTGATTATTCTTACATTATGGTGATCAAAGTTTCTCTTAACTCTTAGGATCTGTATTACCTTTTAGTAAGATTAAGACCATTGTACCACTTGCCCTGAAACTATTCAAATGAAACCAAACATGACTGTAAATCTTATTTGCATTCATTTAGAACATTATATTCTTGACCAGTTTGAGTGAATCCAGTGGAGGGAGGAGATGAAAAGCCACAGATGCATATGTGAGAGAGGCATTTCCCGCACCACCCCTCTGTGGGGTGTCCTTGAGGTGCCGTTGCATTGTTTGCCTCTCAGGAGATCAAAGTATTCTAGTTTCTTTTATCCTTACAAATGTGTTTTTCATTAGCGTTTGTCCTCACGGAAAGATGGAACAGCCGTAATTGGCAGCTTTTTTCGTTTATTCCTTTGAATGGCTGATTGTATGTTATATGGACTGCTGCGCCGTCTTTCCCCATCTCTTGTCTGTCGGCTGGCAACAGTAGAAATGTCACATGACGACGGCAGGCTCTTTGCCGTCCGTGCTGACTCAGCACAGGCTCCTTGGCCTATGACATCATCATTCAGAGGCAGCATTTTTCCATTTGTGCCTCGTAAGTACAGTACGCCCACATGGAGTCTGCATGTGCAGGGCTCCGCAGAAACCTCTGAAGATTTCCAATCATCGTTCACATAGCCCTCACCTCTTGCATTTTTGTTTATTAAATATGGCGCTTTTTACACATTTGCTATGGTATTCGCACAGTGCATGTGACGTAAATTTATGCTCAACATGTGTGCCTTAAATAATTTTTTTGTCCATAAGGTGGCAACACATTGTTTCAAAGTTGAAGTTTTTATGTGATGTTACACTAATGGAAATGGTTATTGTTATCAGATTTGCAGTAAAGACTAATATACTAGGACAGAGATATTAAAAGACAAAGTACGCATAACGTACTGAGGCCCAGAATATGAATTCAAGGCGGGAACTTCCACATTAAAGAGTTAGTTCACCCAAAAATGAAAATTCTGTCGTTAATTACTCACCCTCATGTCGTTCCACACCCCTAAGACCTTCGTTCATCTTCAGAACACAAATTAAGATATTTTTGATCAAATCCGATGGCTCAGAGAGGCCTCCATTGACAGCAATGCCACCCAAACTCTCAAGATCCATAAAGGTACTAAAGACGTCGTTAAAACAGTCGACGTGACTACAGTGGTTCTACAATAATTTTATGAAGCGACGAGAATACTTTTTGTGTGCAAAAACAAAACAAAAATAATGACTTTATTCAACAACCTCTTCTCTTCTATGTCATTCTCATACGTTGTTTACGTCCAGCGCTTCCAGGTTCTATGTCAGAATGGCGTCTCATTATTGGACAGCTCCTGCATCAGCATCGCACGCATGCGTCGCGCTGCTCACATGTGCAGCTTTGGCCAATAATGAGCTGGCGTTCAGATGTGGAACACGGAAGCCTTCACTGTGCTTACTGCGCTAACCACGTAAGGATAATGACAGGGAAGAAAAGAGATTGCTGAATAAAGTTATAATTTTTGAGGGTTTTTTTGCATCAGGACATGACTAGATATCAGTGGTTAAAGACTGTTTCTATAAAGTTGGGCAGTTCCAACTTTGCAAGGACAGTCTGGCGAGTCAGGCGCTTCTGACTCACAGCCTGTAAGTACGTTTTTTATATTTAAATAATTTGCCACTGATGATTCAAACACGAGTTTTGGGCAGTGTAGAGTAGGCTTGTTGTTTATTGTTTCTCCGATCACAAATGCAGACATGGTTTTATGTTTACGCAGCGCGATACGCAATGCAACGTGTAAAAAGACAGTATAAGTCATTATAATCAGTAATTATGTCCCCACTGGATGCAACAAATGTCTCGTTTGTAATGGGTTTTATTGGTTTTGTCTTGTCTAGTGATGTCCGGATCGCGAACGAATCGTTCTATTTAACCGGATCTTCTTAGTGAACCGGTCGAACCAGTTCACCAAATCGATCTGAATCGTTTGAAACGTTTCGCGTCTCCAGTACGCACTAATCCACAAATTACTTAAGTTATTCAGTTTATAAACGTGCCTGACACTCCCTCTGACGCGAAATAAACCAATATCCCGAGTTATTCAGTTACTCCTAACAGTACATTGACTGAACTGCTGAAAGAGAACCGATGATGGGATGTGCACGAGCAGAGCAGCTGGACTGAGTCTCGTCCTGCTGGGAGACGGCATCACATCCCTGTTAAGGGGCGTAACATTTCCGTCACACGCTTGAGGCATTCGGCCAATCACAACACACTGGATAGCTGGCCAATCAGAGCACACCTCGCTTTTTTAGAACGATGAGCTTTGTAAAAATCAACGCGTTTCAGAAAGGCGGGGCATAGAGGAGAAACAATAATGTACAGTATGTGAAAAATAATGTTTTTTTAACCTTAAACCGCATGAACACATTGCATTACACCAAATACACAACATAGTGTTCTTTTTAGCAACGTCATATGACCCCTTTAATAAATCAGGTTATTTCCCTGTAGTGACGTCACAACATAATCATTTGCATATCTGACTCCAAATATTTCATTTGTTGTCAGTTGTAATGTTAAATAAAGCTTGCAACAGTCAGCGGAAAACTCACAGCTCATATATTATTCTCTCATGCAGTTACAGATGCGGCGTTTCGATTGAACCACTTCTGCTGCACAAGATGAGAACACATTTTTAGCATTTTCTGGATCATGAAAGAGTGTATTTGTGATACATTTCCTTCTTTCTTTACTGCAAAACGCTCAAGCTTAAATCTGCACTAACAATGCGTTTTTAACATTTCAAATCATCTGACGTTGTGAGTCACATGCACAAGGTTCTTTCATAGTGCTTTTTTTTGTCATTTTGGAGTTTGACAGCTCCAGTCCCCATTCACTTTCGTTATATGGAAAACATATCTCCTTTTGTGTTTCACAGAAAAAGTCATACCAGTTTTCTCCTTGTTTCTCAGTGAAGATATTCTGGGCCTTCGTGTCAGTGGTGACACCTGGTGAGAGGAGGTTGTACCATGACTCATGTTGCTACAAAAATGGAAGCAAATGGGAGTCATTGAGATAAATTTGAATGTAACAGTATGTAAACAACAGTATTACCTGTCTTTTCCTGTTGCTCTCTCTCATTCCAGAACTCTCTTTGTGAGATCACCAGTAAGCTGCAAGCGTGTACGCCTCACTTTGTTCAGTGTGTCAGGCCCAACAACGCCGGGAAGCCTGACGTGTTTGACAGCTTCCACGTGTCCTCACAGCTCCAGTATGTGGGAGTTCTGGAGATGGTCCGCATGATCCGCTATGGATACCCAGTCCGCCTGTCTTTCACCAGCTTCCTGAGCAGGTAAGATTCTCAACCCTTAAATTGGGCACTGTAAGGCACTTTCCGTGGCTAGATAGGGTACAAATAGGTGTCCCATTACTGTTTTATCCAGCAAACCCCATGTTCTTTAAATTAGAACTCTTACATACTCTTACATAAATAAACATAAATATTCACTACTGTTCAAAAGTTTGGGGTCAGTAAGATAAATGTCCCTTAAGCAGCAAATCAGCATATTAGAATGATTTCTGAAGGACCATGTGACACTGAAGCATTGCCTTCATAGGAAAAATAAATACTTTTTAAAATATATTCAGATAGAGTAGTGGGTCTTACTTTTCCTTGTGTCTGTTTTTAAATCAAGCAGTTCATATCCTAGTACAGGGGTGCCAAACTAAATACCTGGAGGGCCGGAGGCCTGTTGTGTTTAGATTTAACCCTACTTAAAACACCTGATTCAACTAATCTAGTCTGTCAGGCTTATTTGAAAACTATATGGTATGTGTGTTGGACCAGGGTTGGAACAAAACTCTGCAGGCTTCAAGCTCTCCAGGAATTGAGTTTGACACCCCTGTCCTAGTATGTTTCCCATAAAGACCATATATATGTATTATGTAAAGACTAACTAAGGTTAAGCCATCTGTTAAACGCCATTTCTGTGGACATATATTTATGTTTCTACTGTATACACTCAGCACAAGAGTTTTTTTCAATCCATTTGTGCCGTCAGGACAAATGAGGTAAAGAGGCATTCCTGCTGGAAATATATCGTAAGTGCCCTTTCTCAGATGCTGATATGTGTCTGCCTGACTCAAGCAGTCTGCACTATATGCTCAAGATGTACTTTCAGTTCAGCTGAGGTTAGGCAGAAAGTATATACCCTGTGTGTGTGTGTGTGTGTGTGTGTGTGTGTGTGTGTGTGTGTGTGTGTGTGTGTGTGTGTGTGTGTGTGTGTGTGTGTGTGTGTAGGTGCTGAGAGCAACGTCTAGGGTGTGACACTGGTTTCACACCATGATTAATGCTCAGAGGCCTCACTGGGAACAGTTTTTTGAGTGACTGGTTTCCTGATGGGGTGATAATGGGGCAGTTTTGGAGAGGATGAAGTGCTCTCCGATGGGTCACCCTGATCTCGGCTCAACTTCATGTGACTGGATGAGAGAGAAATGGAATAAAGCATCAAAGAGAAAGATTGGAAATTGGATTGTAAAAGGGGACAGGATGTAATTTCAAGAAATCTTCCCCGTGCTTTTCAGAATGTGAAAGAAGATAAAAGCGTGAGTGAAAATGAAAGAGGAGCAGGCTGTTCCTTCTGTCAGGCAAGGGTTCAGCGTGACTCTGGCTTCATTTTTCTCAGGAACACAGTGCCTCATCTTCATGTCATACTGACACCCGTAGAATAGGCTGTTCCCGCTCTTTGCACAAACTTTATTTTAGTGCTGGAGAAGCTCGTAAAGTTCCCACTCCATCTTTGACATTTTTTCTCTCATTTCATTCCTCTATCATAAACGTAACTTTTTCAGAAGTTCACAGAGAGGTTATTAGAGGGAATTTTTTTTTTTTTTTTTTTTCAAATTTACTTCAGTTTTCAGTGTAGTGTAGCCTTAAGTTATTTTCAGAAATATGTGTGTGTGTGTATGGTGTGTGTATATATATATATATATATATATATATATATATACACACACCATACACACACACTAGCATTGTAATTTTAAAGTTGCACTCTTATTAATATTAAATAATTTATGTAAATTATATATGTTTCTTTTATTTATTTTTATTCTACAGTGAAATTACAATATAATATTTAATAATTTCTTCTTCTTCCTCCTTCATCCTCCTCCATCTTCTTCTGTAATCACAAAATTGAACTTGAAGTTGAACTTAAAAGCTCAAGTTAAAAAGCTTGATCTGTGCATATATATGACATGGTGTCATGCGTTAGATGCAAGATGTGAGCCCAAAGTTCAAACACATCCATCTAGCACAAGTTTACATAGAAAAACAATGTGAAAGTATCGCAGTGGAATGGAAAAACACTTTCTGTGTGAACAGGCCCCTTGAGGTTTTCCTCATCGCTGCTCTTTTGTCCTGAGTGTCTTTGTCACTGTTTTATCATTTTAGATTTTCTTTAGTGTCTAATTTTCCAATCTCCTTCCCCGCTGTTTTTCTGAGCAGCGTAATTCAGTGTGCTTTGATTAGATCACACGCTGCTCTTTCTCTCTCGCTCAGTAAAGGATAAAAGGATTATGGTAACATTCCAGTGTGATAATGAATCGGGACGCTGCTGGTCACATGACACTGTAAGTTTCCACTACCCGGCTGTAAACATCATGAATCTTTCAGAAAGAGAGAGCGTAAGACAAAGAGGGAGAGAGAGATAGAAATGGGGACTATGGACACTTCACAGAACATTTTAGCTCCTAGACAGCAGCTTGTGTTGACTCTGGATTAAATGACCCAGACATTTGTGACATTTGTGTTTAGACTGGGGATAAAATAGCTCAGATTCTCCCGTGATAGTGAATATTGTTTTGACTACATTAAATGAAGCGGATAGTATCCCGATATATAACATTGCCTTTTTTGAGAGCGGTTATTTTTGTGCCATTGTCTTCTTTACTGTTGGTAGTCACACGTGTCACCTGCTCATTTGCATAAAGTCAAACTTTTCTCATCTTTGCCACAGCAAATGATCTCTGTGAGACATATGCTTTTCCATTATTTTAGTTAATCTGTGGCATCCATTCTCACATTCCCATGATGTGCTGTGTTTTTCTGTGAGCACATTGGAGACGTGGTGCCATGTGCGTGGTTAGCTTTTGTGTGTGTGTGTGTGTGTGTGTGTTAGCATCACAATAAAGCTGCAGCAGGCCAGACAGGGTGAGAGGCTGCAGGCAGACGAAGGCCAGATGATTGTGATGGAAATTTGGGGCTTTTTGAGCAGGAGGTTGTCTGATACAGAGGTCAATTTTCATGGCCTTTCGTGGGGGGTGCTCTGTCAGCATTGTGTGTGTTTTTGCTTTTTGACATTCAAGCTGTTCGCATATGTATTTGTGTGTGTGGCAAGAGCTGTACGAGCTTGTTTATTTGTGTTTTTGTGTGCTCTCATTTGTCTATATCAAAATATGTGGAATGCAACGGAATCTGATTATTTATCTTACTCTGCTTATCCACATTGTGTCCGTAAAAATGTCAGTGTTGATACTTGTCTGTTGATTCACTGGCTCAAACACGAGGCTAAATCTGAAAGCATCTGTCTATCAGAGGAACAGTCATTTCAACAGACATTGTTCCAAGTAGATTCTAAATCTTTTTTTTTATTATTATTATTATTTCTTTTTTATTATTGAAGAGCATTTTATGCAAGAACAAATTATGTAAAAAATCTACTTAAATCTAAAAAATAATCTATTAACTTAAATCTGAAAATAAACTAAATTAAAAAAATAATTAAAGTATGTTTTGCACACTGTTTTCTACGTATATTTGTCAGTGTCACATGATCCTTCAGAAACCATTCTAATATGCTGATTTGATGCTCAAGAAACGGTTCTGATTATTATCAAAGAACAACATTCAAAAGGACAACATTTATTTAAAAATATAAATAATTTGTATTGTCAGTTATTTATATATATATATATATATATATATATACAGTATATATGTGTGTGTGTGTGTGTGGCACTGGCCAAAGTAAACAGTGCACGAATCGCTACAAACTAGTTTCCTTTTTCTCGCGCCATGTGCCAGTCTTTGTCTGAGTGCACGTGTGTGTTGATTTTCTGTTGACTTGTGGGTAAATAAAGAAGTGAGGCCTTGGATAAATGCGGCTTTGTGTTTGCTTATGATGTGGAGTCATGTGTACCCTCCATCCAGCACGTCTCCTCCAAAGACGCCTTGACTTCCCGAGGCAGAAAAGAGGCTGCGAGTCACAAAGACCCCATTCACAACCTCCTGCGCCTCCATCAAGCCATTCATAATCATGTGTGAGGGTGAAGGGAAAGTTATTATATTTTTGAATGGATGTTGGGTTTTATACACGTGTGACGTGTGATCGAGAAGTTCTTGGATGATTTGATTCTTTGTGTACAGTATTTTTCTTCTCTGTCATCTTGCTAGCCTTGTGTAGCCTGAGGTGTGCAGTACTCTCTGGCCCAGCACTAATGAGTGTGACAGGCTTATTTATCACGGTTTAGCTCAAGCCTTGGGACAAATTACTCATCCACTTTTAAACGCATCCTCACTGTATCAGACACCACAGCACACTGACTCAGAAACAAATGCATGGATCTGAGTCAGAGTACAGGGTTTAATTTAATGTGAGTCAAAATGAGGAGGCAGTGAAAAACTGAAGTATTCATTACCATGTTCTTAAAGGGATAGTTTACCCCAAAATAAACATTCTGTCATCAGTTACTCATCCTCATGTCTTTTCTTTTTTTTGTTCAAATCTGTATGATTTTCTTTATTTTTAGGAACACAAAAGGTTTTTTGAAGAAGTTTGTTTTTGTCCATGTTTGTCCAAGCAGTGGGATCCTAAATTAAACTGCATGACCCAGTGACTATAGGGGATAAAAAAAACGCATTGTCCAAAATGATCGTATTTTGTTTTCCAAAGAAGAAAGAAATGTTTCTGTGGAATATTTCCATGTTATTTCTGTCATTAATGTTTTAAAACGTTCAAAAAGTTTGGGGTCAGTACAATTTGACAGACAGTTTTGCTATGTTTTTGAAAGAAGTTTCTTATGTTCACCAAGGGTGCATTTATTTGATCAAAATACAGTAAAAATATTAATATTGTAATATAGTAATATTGTGAAATATTATTACATTTTAAAAGAACTTTTCATTGTAAAATGTCATTTATTAGTGTGATGGCAAAACTGAATTCTCAATTTTCAGTCTTTTTCAAATTATTATTCTATTTTTATTATTATCAAAGATAAAAACAGTTGTGCTTCTTAATATTGTTGCAGAAACAGTAATACATTTTGTTCAGGATTCTTTAATGAACATGATGTTCAAAAGAACAGTATTTTGAAATAGAAAACTTTTGTGACATTATAAACGTCTTTACTGTCATTTTTGATCAATTTAATGTGGCCTTGCCGAATGAAATAAATAAATAACTTTCTGACCTTAAACTATTAAATGATAGAGTGCATCTCCAAGACCTCCGTTAAAGAGTGCTTCATCTGAAAATATGAACAAACATAATGAGGAACTCTCTTCTTTAAAGAAGCAGTTTTATATACATTCTAAATGTATGCCCTTTATTATTTTTTTCTAATACACAAAAATATATGTATTTCCATGAATACCTACAATATACATCATAATGCATGCATCAGATATCATATTGCAGTTTGCATGTGCATAATTTCTTCTCAGTCTGAAGATCCTCATAACATAAACCACCAACTGGCTCTGCCTTACCCATTTCATCTGGTTTATTTGTTTTACACAAGCACTCATGTGATACTTATTTATTTATTTTTCACTTAGTGAGAGGCTTAATGCGTAACAGCTGGGAACAAGAAACCCTGCAACAATACACTGATTTACATAAGGCTCTCTCTGTACCTTCTCCTTTGTTTTTCTAGTACGCCCAGCTCTAGTACTTTGAGAGGTAGAACACTTTGATTTATGCATTAATATGCATGCTCATGCATGAGCACAGTCCCTGCTTTTTTTTCCTGACAGCAGAAATGCCGTCAGCGCTTCTTATCGCCATAATGATGCTCAGAATAAAAGATGATGATCTGTTGTCATCCTCACTGTTTTATTGTGGCTATTTACTGTGAATATTGAGGTAGATCCACCCCACCCCCCACCCCCTCCCATGATCCCAATTTGGAGCTTAACTGCCAAGCAGTCAACCTTGTTGAGTTCATATGACTCAATCCCCAAAGGCCCTACAAACTGTGAGGGCATCGATAATTTTCATATTCATATACAAGAGGTCTTTCCCTGGCTCCTTTCATGGTTGATGACTCCTTTGGGAAGCCGTAGGTCTTGGTCATAGAAGAAGGGTTGGGGGAAGTTCAGAAGCACCAGGCTGCTGTAAATCACTTCGAAAGGGAGACGCTGAGTTAATTTGGCTTAAGGCTTAAGCAAGTGTTTGACTGAGCGCATGGAGAAGCCCCCCAATATACTACATCCCTACAATCCCACCCTTCCATCTGTTCACCATGTGCCACATGACCAGAGTGTGTGAGCTGTGCTCAGTGGAAACAGTGAGGGAATTGTAAAAATTATTTATTTATTTTTTTGAAAGTCGGGACCTCAATTTTCGCTCTCCCTCTAAGATTGCTTGCATCACAAATCATGGGCATGACACATTAATGGCCCATAATGCAGCTGTCTGCAAAAAAGTATTCACCACATGTTAAATAGTGTTAATAGGCAGTGTGAATGAAATTCCAAATTTGTGAAATAATATTGGAAAGACATAACATAAATGCAGATTGTTTTGCGAATATGATGGGTAAACATGAGTACGGGAAAACTTAAGATTTGTTTTGAAATTTCAGTATGTGTGTACAGAAGTATTCCATTCACATATGAAAAATGCTGTCGTCAATTAAAAATGGGTATCACATTTTCACTACACTATTATCATGGCTAAAATAATTCAGAAATAACAGTATATCTATAGAAATGTTGGGGGTGGCAACCAGTCACATTTAGTCACATTATTCGCAAAATTTAGGTGAGATTTTGTAGGCAAAAAAAACAAACCCCGGTCAATTGTGCCTTGCCAGTGGTGTACACTCTTAAAAATAAAGGTGCTTCAAAAGGTTCTTCATAGTCACATTATTCGCAAAATTTAGGTGAGATTTTGTAGGCAAAAAAAACAAACCCCGGTCAATTGTGCCTTGCCAGTGGTGTACACTCTTAAAAATAAAGGTGCTTCAAAAGGTTCTTCAAGCAATGCCGTAGAAGAACCATTTTTGGTTCCACAAAGAACCATTCAGTCAAAGGATCTTTAAAGAACCATCTCTTTATTACCTTTTTGTAATCTGAAGAAGATAGAACCATCTTTATAGAACCATTTAAACAAAAAGGTTATTCTATGGCATCGTGAAGCACCTTTATTTGTAAGAGTGTAGCTATGTATAAATCACTGCTCACAAAGAAGTCACTTTTAAACCAAGCAGTTTTCTGTTTTTCAGCACAGCAAATTTGCATGACCAACTTGAATATGAGTGAAATCTGCATGGGGAAATTTTTGTCCTCGTGTGAAACTCCCGATCTTACCGATTCTGATTCAAATGAATTGAAAGGAATTCACCTGCAAAAGTAAATGTGATCACACCTTTAAGGTGCAGTACTGCCAGTAACAATGTTGGAGTGTCAACCATATAGTAATGGCACTTTGGTTGTTTATGCTATTTTTGTACGTGTAGTATTAACATATCAGTATTTCATTTTTAAAGTAGTATATAGTGAGACCTAGAGAGTAATATCACTCTCTCCTCTCAAATGTGTAATCTATATAAAATGTAAAAAAAAATCTTATCAGCATACTAATGCATCACCCTTGCAATTGTACACAATTGTGCAAACATTATTTAACATCTTGTGTCCAGAAGTTTGTGACATAAAAGTTCCTTATTAAATAACTTTACAATTAAGTATAAAATGAACATAAACTAAGGCCAATTCAGAGCATTGTTTCATCAAGCGTGAAATGGAAAACCTTGAGTGGAGTAATTGTATAGGCTTTCATTATTGAATAGACCTTGATTTTTACAATTGATTATCATGTACATTCATGTTCTGAACCTAAAATTGAAAAGCAACAGATTTAATTCAAGATAGAAAAGCAATTGTTTTAAGATGTTGTTTGCATGCATCACGTATGCTTGAGTTCTTCCTTTGTGAATTCCTTTAGTATTGTTGATTGTTAAACACCATTCCCTTGTGCCAGATGTTCATAATGCATAATCCAAATACGCACACACACACACACACACATGTTTGAGGGGTGTGTCTACAGCTTACCCTCTCGCGCCACAGATGCTTGATCCCTCTACTCCAGAACAATGCAGCAAAGCTCTCCAAGTTTGACCTTTCTCTGTGAATGGTTGCCTTGCCAACAGCCACCGCAGCAGATGCTGAGAAGTCATCCGGACTCCAGCGGTTCCTGCAGGGAGCAGAGGACTTGAGTATGCGTGCCTACGACAGCCTGGTCATCCAAAACGCAGCCGATATTGCACGAGAGAACGACCGCCTCCGGGGTCACATCAGTGCTCCACCACTAGGTGAACGACCGGAACCTGTGGGCAAAGAAGAAGACTCGCCCAAGAGGTGAATCTTAAAGCAGAGAATGTGTTACTTTTTAACTCACCATGAGCTGTTAGTAATCTCTTTTTACAATACACACATCTCAATTTAAAATCATTATTAACATCAGCTATTTGTAGGGTAATAAGGTTATTTGCTTCACAGAAGTTGAGTGTGCTCCTGTCTCTATTGTTTAATTAGTTCTTAAAATAGAATACATATCAAGGAAATAATCATATTCATATTGATATCCCTTAGAGGATCTCTAACAAGAAATCTTGTTTTGTCAGCTGCAATTCAATCAGATGTGGACTCTCAAATGAGTATGTGCTACTGTGAGACTCCCTCTTGAAGGATTATATTAGACACTAAATTATATTAGAGTATCTGATTATATTAGACACTCCAAAATGTGCATTTTACACTTGGGTTTGAGGAACCTATAAAAATTAATGGGAGGTTTTATCAGTTCTCCTTGTTCTATCTTTGCAAACAAAAATGGAACAGAATGCATCTTAGTTTGCCACTGATGTCAAAAGTACTTTTTGAGATGTTGTTAGTGGGAATTCAGCAAAAAGGAAGACTGGTCTCAGGTTAGTTGTAGACACTATTAACATTGGCACATACAGTACGTACTACCATCTCCATCTGCAAGTGAAAAGTCAGATCTGCCTATTCAATTGATATTCAGTACCCAAAACTGAACCCAAAGGCAAAAAAATATAATTTTTTACAATTGCTAGTGTTAAAAGATAAAAAAAATTATAAAATACTTGATAACATAGAAACTATCCATGAACAATTGTCTGACACTATGCAACAGTTGCCAAGGAAATGTGGATCATTACCATTAGAAGTGGTGTGGAGGTTTTTTTTTTTATTTTTTTTTTTTAACAAAACTGCAATGGAAATCTGTTCACACGAGCATAAACAAACAGGAGTATTTGGGTGGCCGTTGTCATCAGCAGTGTCTCAATCATTCGACATATGACCATCTGCTCCTATGAAGGGGATGGGCTTCTTGTTCTTCAAAACACACACATTTATCACATACATTCACTTTTAGCATCACAAATGAGGGAGGTGCAGGTGATTGAGAGATGGGGCTTTCATAGCTAATATAGATGTGGCAAACTCAATCAGTGAGTCAAGAGGAGGTCCATACCGCTAATCAGAAAGAGAGAAGACCCACCCCCCACTCTGGGTTGCTGAAATCTCCTTGGAACCCGTCACCACCCCCCTGTTCCCCAAATACCATCCAACACTCCATCGCCTTTTGTGTAAGAACAACAGATGGTAGGCCCAGATTATAGGGTAAATATCAAACAAGAGTGTGCATTTCACGTTAGAGTATTATAGGAATCAGCTTAGACTTAAACAAGCAGCAATGCAAATAATCTTGTCATGCTTTAGTTCTGTATATCAGAGTTTAGAATCATAATGCAATGGACATGAAACTTGTCAGCCTGGTACGAGGCGGCCACTGCTTAGGCCTTATCCAGCGAGCAGCATCTGCAGATGGTCCCCATTCTTCTGTGCTAAGCCTCTACCCCTGTCAGGATGAGGAGGATGTGTATATCGAGATGGTGGGGGCCTCAAGAGTCCTCAGCCTGGCTGACTCCCACAGTCCTGAACTGGGAGAGGCAGTATACGAGGAAATGAAATACTTCCCACCTGACGAGGTGGGGTCAGTTCCAGTGGCCAAGCCTGAAACTGTCAATCCCGCTACCACTACCCTACCTGCCCCAGTGCTGGAAGTCAAGAGGCCCGTGACATTGATAGAGCACTCTGGCACACTCGGAGGAAAGCAGCAGGGCAAGGATGGGACGGCATGTGACATTCCAGCACCATTCCCCAACCTCCTTTCACACCGTCCCCCACTTCTAGTCTTCCCCCCATCCCCTGTCACCTGCTCTCCGGCCTCGGATGAGTCCCCCCTCACCCCCCTGGAGGTGAAGATGCTGCCTGTGTTCGAGACTAACCTCAACTACACCAGCCAAGATGGGGGCAGCCCACTCTCACCCCAGTACATCCGTCAAAGAGCTGACTCCTCACCGAGTCTTTCTGTCTTAATGGCAGACAAGTCCACGCCGCCCTTGACTCCTCCTCCCCCTCCAGCAGCACTTCCACCTCCTTACCGCCCCCCATCCCACTTCCCCTTTCCCCCTGAACCAAACTTATTGGCCCTGACACGTGCAGCTTCTGTAGCTACCACCGATTCCCCCAAAGTATCCCATAAAATAGGACACGGTCTGGCAGAGACACCCCTAATCAATTCCAAGCCTCCCTTCTCCCCAGTAAAGACCTCACGGCCAGAGCCCCGCAGAGCTCATTCCTGCACCTCCTCACCTCTGCTCTTCAATCCTGCCAATGGGAGACCCCTCACCAGCCCTCTGGACGAGCTCAGCACCCTTTTCAGCTCAGGGCGCAGCCTGCTCCGCAAGTCCACCACTGGAAGAAAGATCCGTGACAGCGGTGAGTGAGAGTATATGCACGTGTTTGGGTACATGTGTTCTAAAGGTGTTGTAAGGACTTCCAATGCCATTTGCGGCACCAAACGGAATTGTATAATGAGTGTAATAATGAGTGACCAATCAGGTCTCTCAAGCACTTCAAGCACCACTTTCTATAGTTGAGCCAGTGTTGGACCACGTCAGGCCTCTCAGTCCAAAAAAAAGCAATGTTGAAAGCACCACAGAGTGACAGTATTTCTACGTTTTGCTGAAATCAATTTACAAATTGCCTACTTACAGTTGTCTGAAACATCAAGCTGGTATTCAGGAAAGTGTTTTAATATCGAACAAAATGGCTCACCCAAAAATGCATTCTATCATCACTTAACCACCCTCATGTTGTTCCAAACCTGTATAACTTTCTTTCTTCTGTGGAACACAGTAGAACAGAGTTTGAAGAATGTTTCTACTGTTTTTGTCCAAAACAACATTGGACCAAACTGACGTTCACTGTATGGAAAAAAAGAGATAGAGAGACTACTTTAAAATATCATCTTTTGCGTTTCAATGTAGAAAGTCAGTCATACAGTTTTAGAATGGCATGAGGGTGAGTAAATAATTACGCAATTTAAATGTTTGTGTGAACTGTCCTTTTAAACTTGCATTACATGCTCCAGACACATGAATCACATATTTTTATAGCCAGCACACATGGTTATGCTTAATTTGCTGCAGGATCAAATTATAGAAACTTTCCCAGCACTCTTTTGGTTAAATGTCATTTCATATACGTGGTTACTGAAAGGCACATCCTGTTTAGCATGGTTTTTCTTGACTCATCCAGTGCCATGCTTTGTGTTTGTCAAAAACAGTGAGGTCAGTGCTGATAAAACAGACATTTATCGTAAAAACTGCAGTTTGTTCTCTCTCAGGGAGCAATTAATATATAATGCACATTAAGTACATGCCCATTTAAGGAAAAGAGCAAGTGTTAAATGTCACATTGAAATAAGAATTTGACGAGGGGACGTTCTTAGGGAGGATGTTGGGTGTGTGTATTGAGTTCACATGCTGTGTCTAACACAGTTTCCCTCGCCTCTTTCTCGTAACCTTTGTATTTAATTAAAGATGCTTTTGTGTACTTCTACTCCCATCATGGATTTATGAGCATGGATCCCCTATGACCCTGACCCATATGTGCTTGTAAAAACTTGCATGTGGTTTCACAAATGTGCAACTGACAAGTCTCATCTAAATATCTTAGTCCACTTGCACAATTGGTTGCATCTAATCATAAAGGTCAGTTTTTTGTTGAGCCGTTTACATTTTTCCTATCTGGAGCCGAGAATCAGCTGTCTGCATTCTGTTTGTATCCATCACCAAGATCATGAAAGATCAATACAGTTAACTTAGCAACCACTACGACTAATTGCATCAATCAGAAGAAGCATATATTTTTTGACTATATATAGATCTAAAATCATTTAAACAATTTGAGCACTTTGATTGCAAAGAAGGATTGAGATGTCTAGGGTGTTCATGTTGCGTGTAAGAAATATTCAATATCATATAAATGTTTTCCTCTCTGTGTTGATTCAGTTTATTGTAAAGGGCACAGAAGGTATTAGCTCCAGTCACATACATATTACATGGACAAGAGATGATGTAGCTATTAAATATTAAATATCAAAGTCTCCCGCTCTGCTGGCGGATGTGAATCGCTGCAATGTGTTTGAATCCCCAGAGTACAGTCTGTGTGTGTGTGTGCGCATCTTAGGACACACTAAGCGTCACTCCAGAGCAGAGGAAATTACTTCTCGCATTACTGTACGTTCACAACTGTGTGGTTGAAATGAACAAACATTAATCTGTCATAATGTGTGTGTTAGTGGCATGCTTGAAAATATTCCAAAGCATGTCTACAACACAACTGTCCCAACTGTTTCTCTATTATATAGTCTGCATGACTGTCAGTCGTCTTGATTGACAGGTGTATCCGGTTTAATTTCATTTTCTTTTTCAAGTTTGATCCCTGATAGTTACACTAACATTCAAAAGTTTAGGGTCAGATTGCTTTTTAAATACTTTAATTTCATTATACATTCATTCATTGACTCTTTAAATTGAGATTAGTAATGTTACAAGATTATATTTCAAATAAATGCTGTTCTTTTGAACTTTCTATGTATCAAAGAAACCTGAAAAAATGCATCATGGTTTTCACATAAATATTAAGCATCACAACTGTTTTCAACATTGATAATAATAATAAGAAATATTTCTTGAACAGCAAATCAGCATATTAGAATGATTTATGTAGGATCATGTGACACTAAAGACTGGAGTAATGACTGATTAAAGTAGTAAATTCAGCTTTGCATCACAGGAGTAATTATTATTAATATTTAAAATAAATATTTAGATGAATTAAGAAAAAAATAAGATTTTCCATTTTAATTGTAATCAGATCATCACAAGGGGAACATTTTTTACTTTTCAATAGTATGTTGATAATTTGACCAAAACAGTAGCATTTTCATTTGGGGGCTCAGAATTTTGGACCC